TTTCATATTTCATTGTGCTTCAGTGTGACTTTAGTTTAGCAGATGTTCCATCAGCTGCTTCTCTCCTGCTCTCTGTGCTCACTGAAACTTTAATTACAGTTAAAATCCCAATACAGCTGTTGTCTTCGTCACATTTTCTATTTATGTTGTCAGACAACGAAATAAATGCATTAGACCTCCACACAATGTCGGCTTTATGCCCTAAATTAGCAGCTTTAGTAATTCCTAAAGTCATTCCATATGTTGCTGTAATGGTTCATACACCAGCATGTAGAAGCTCTTTAACCCAAATGATGTTTTAATGCTGAAAAATAATTATTGTTCTTATCCATGAATTTTCAAATTTACTGTTTTTACAAAAAAAAAAAAAAAAACAGAAAAAACTGTCAAGCACAAATCGTTATTTCTGGACTAAGATGTCAGATTATATTACATTCCTGAACAGAAACATTGGTTTTAGTGGCTGAATGTGATGCTTGATTAGTTTTCTCAGAGAAGCCCAGTGATTGGTGGTTTGATAAATGTGTTAAACGCTGTATATTTCACGTCTAAACTACTGATTTTATCACCACAACATCATCAGACAAACTCAACGTACACATGAGTGAAAAACAACAGACATGCTGTGAACACGGTGATTTGTTTTCCTCCTAAAATGATCCTTTAGACACTAATGGTTCTGTCAGCTGCTGTGTGGTCAACGTTTTCACTCTTTTCTGTCCATCACAGACACAAAGAGAGTCTTCTTCCTGAAGGGGGGCGTCGACAGTAGCAGCGTTTAAAGCCACAGACACTGAATCATCCTGTTTAAACATGGAGCTAAAACCAGAGGTTATACATAAATGTAAAGTAAAGAATCTTTGCTATATTTGAAATTGAAACATAAGGTTTTAATTAGTTTGCTAAAAATGGGCACAATAGGAGACTTTTAATTAACTATAAATTTGAGTACAGATGTTTAATGGGATCCTTTCATGAGGTCACACAGCTGATTTCTCACATACAGGCTCACAATAATATTCACAGCGAGTCGGTTTTTTAGGCTTTAAAAACGTCGTCTGTGGCTCTGGAGGAGCTTTTTTCAAGTCGGGCTTCAAGGCTGCAGATTTGTAAATCTGCATCACAAACTGGGGCTGTGGCGTATGAAATGCATTTACCCGGCCGGAGGGTCTAAGAAGTAGATTTGGTGTTAATGGGAGATGCAGGATCCAGCGTTTCTTCAAAGGAGCAGCAGATGGAGTCCTGGAGGTGTTGAAATGAGACCTTCTCATTCATCTGTGCATGAATGTTCAAAATGAATTCATTTTCTTTAAACAGCAACGAGCACAGCTTCACCTGAGTGTCCTTTTATTAATTTTTCCTGAGCTTTCAGTCATTTATAATCCATCTATATTTTATTTTGCTGTTAAATAGGTTTCTTGTAAATCCTTCAGTGTTGCCCTTCTGCTAAAGAGAGTCACTAGAGGACCCTTAAATATGTTTATTAGAGTACATTGCTGCATTTTAAAATGCACTATACGACATATTATTTATGTTTATGTCCATCAAATTACATTTCAGGGTCAGCCATGCAGTACTCAATATCCTGATGTTATTTATCCATTTATCCACTGATGGGACACATTGTTATGATCCTAATAGGAGGATAGCAGCAGCAGCAGCATATTTTATGTCGGCAGCACTAAAGCGAAACCAATAAATATGCACGAATATCTGTGCGATTAATCAAGTTCAGCCAAAGAGGGACAAATGAGTAATGTCAGCCTGATATTTCCGTAATGGTGAGCCTTTGGGACCTGAGAGTGCGATTAAAGTGCACCGTGACAGGAACGAGAACGCTCTTTAGTCACATGAAGGCAACGACTTCATTATGGTGCCATTATAGACGGTGTACCACATGGTGCACCCTGAATAGTGAGTTTAATTCCTGCTTGCCTGGACTGTTCCTCTTCCTCCTTTCCCCCCATTCCCACCATCAAGGCAAAGGCCAGAAAGTAATCTTTAATAAAACAAACAAAAAAAGAGCTACAGCCACTTTACCGCATTACTGAGGCTTTGCAGCTGAGTCTGTATGTCCCAAAAAAAACCCATACCGCCTGCCGTGCTGCCAATCTACAAATCCAGTGGAAAGCTGGCGGTGCACGCTTGTCGGGTAAACATGTGGTCTGATGAGGCCTGAAGAGGAGAGCTAACCCAAATAAGATTATGTGAAAGTCGGCAGAGCAGAGAAGGAAAAGGTGCTTGAAAAAGCAATTTGTGGTGAAGGTGAGGGTCAGGTGAACGCTGAAGGAGAATTAAAAGAGTTCGGCTGGACTTGTTCCCAAATGAGTTAATCCCCCAACAAGTCTGTGGGCCAATCAATGCAAACTCATTCTGTGCTGTCAAACCCTAAAGAAACTAAAAAAGCACTTATTTGGGGGGATATAGGAGTAGCCTGTGGGGTCGAGGCCCAGTGGAGCCTCATGTCTCTGCTGCTTAAGTCGTATAAATAACTTCTGTGTAAGATACAGACAATAGATATAAGTTTTTACGTTTTCCAGCACAATAGGCTGTTTGACATCTACGCTGCTGTAATGTCATAAATATCTACAATAGTAAAACAAAGCTGCAGTTTTCAGCACGTTAATTAAAAAAAAAAAAAAAAAAAAAATCCGGAGGACACAAAAAGTCAAAAAAAAAAAAAAAAAAAAAAGTGTGTATACGTTTGGTCTCATCAAACTTGTCGCCTCGGGGACCAAATCAATCAGCAGCGCTTTTCCGGCCTTTAATGACTGAGAGACCACACAGGTATAAATCACACTCAGGGTTTAATTTGATTGAATGGTCCAACCGTAGTAATGAAACAGGAGGATGTTTGCAAACTTAAAGCTAAAAAAATAAAAGGGAAGCATGTGAGCGGTAAATGTTGAGTCTCTGGAAAAACAGCTTCATGAATAATTATGTGATCTCAGCTAGTAGCTAATTCAGCAGAGAAACATACGGCAGCATGTAAATTCAGGTAAACACTGTGACATGCAAGAAGCTTCAGTAATAATTACAATAATCAAAACTCCAGCGGTCGTGTTCATTACGCTGATGATGAGCCTTTATTTATGTGTATGTTCAATCATCGCAATGTGAATCCAAACCCCTCCGCTGGTCGGATCTAATGGAGATTTGAATTTAAATGCTGCTTAATGACGTGGGCCTCGTGGGACAGATGGACACCGGAGTGCTAGAGGTTCGTTAAGCTCTCGCTCTGTCGTTAAGAAAACAGGACTGAAGCTTTGAATCTGTGCCTGAGTTAAACAACCAGAGGCTAGTTTTCTGGATTCTGTGTTCAATTGGTTTAAAAGAAAAAAAAAAAAAAAAGAGGCATGTTGTAGTTTTTCCAACCAGAACAGGAGGAAGTAGATATTATTTGAGCAACAGCGCTCTCTGCTGGATAAAGAGGAGCAGTACGACTTTTCCTCATTGGACCTACAGTCGTCCTCAAATGTATTAAAGAAAAGGCAAAATCCACAACAGTCACTCAAATAACTAGAAACTGAAGAAAGTAATAATAAATAAAAATTTGCTAAATTACACTTTAGTGAAATAAGATATTGCTTTTGAATTGTGGTTGAAAAGAATAATTTTAAAAAACAAACAAAACTGACAAATGCGAGGCCTTTGCTGATGAGCAGTGATCCAGAACACCTGTCAACAGGTGCACAAGTCTGGCTGAGAGTTACAGGAAACACCTGATGGCAGTGATTGGCTCAGAGGGTTGTTCAATTAAATAGTAGCTTACGGGTCCCATCATGCTGTTTTTTAAAAATATTTCTGTTGAACCACAATTCAAAAGCAACGTCATGATGTTCATAAATTTTTTATTTATTATTACTTTTGTCAATTTCAACTTATTTCAGATGTTGTTTTCCTTCTTTAATAAGAGGTAGGAATACATGTGAAGATAAACTCACATGTTGTTTTATATTTTACACTTGAATAGTTTTTTGATGCATCCAAACCCATTGAATGTTTTTTTATATTTAGTTTTATTTATACCTGGATTTGCTTATTTATGGCTGCATTCTGTACGATGAGTTCAGACATAAAACTTACAGAGATGTTCTCCTCCTCTGTATCTATATAATCTGAATCTGTGTCTTTGTCTTGCATGTTTTTCAGGAAGAGTGATTGATTACAGTAAAGTTCCATACGTGATGCGTCGAGGCACATTTGAATCAGTGTCGATACGAATCCCTTTATCTTGGAAAATCATTATTGGATAACTTTTTCTTTTCTTTCCTTTTAACTTGTCCTTTATTTTGTAGTTCTATTACACAGTATATAACTCTCTCTGCACAAGTTTTGATGGTAAACCACAGCAACAAAGCGTTGTTTTAAAAATGATTTTATTTATGTACGATTATCTACAAGATGAGCAGCGTGTGCGGTGTGTGCACAGCATGAGCATGAGGGTGAAGTATTGATGACTGAATTATAGATCGACCCGACACACATGGAAATGAACAATATACAAGATGGGATGCACAGAAACATAAAGATCTTCTGCGGTCAACAATTCGCAATCTGGCTTTTCCAGTGAAGGAGCGATGAACTCATTACTTGCTCATATTGATTTCATAACGTACCGTGTAGCACCAGAATAACAATGAGGCTGAGACCAAACGTGCTCTTTTTAGGAGGCCATGATGTGCTTCACGAAAGCTTCGTAATTTATGCATCCGTTGGCGTCCTCCTGGTTTTGCATCAGCTGCTCCACCTCGTCCTCCCTCATCTTCTCACCTGTGGAACATAATGACAGAAACCAGGAGAACTGTCAGCTCGGCGCGGATCCTCGTGCGTGAAATCAGCTTCCGATGAGGCCGTTCGACTCACCCAGCGTCGCCAGAACGTGTCTGAGCTCGGCACCCATGACTGTGCCGTTCCCTTCCTTGTCAAACACCCGGAGACCCTCCACGAAGTCCTCGAATGTTCCACGGTCCTTGGCCTTGCAGATGTGTTGGTGAATCGGTAGAAACTGGTCAAAGTCGAGCATCTTGGTCTGCATATCTGTGGCAAGTAATGAAAACGCTGATTCACACCAAAGGCAAAGAGGCGGTGGGCTTTATGTAAACCTTTCTCAGCCAGATCCAAAGCTGACCGTTCGCACCAGCAGTAAAGTTCGTGCTACCAACCTTCAGCTTTGGGCTTCCCGAGGACGTGCATGATCTCTGCATTGGTGGGATTCTGGCCCAGCGCCCTGATCAGGTCGCCGCATTGGGCGTAGGTGATTTTCATTTCGCTGGTCGGTGTTCTGTCAAACAGCTGGAAAGCATCTTTGAAGTCTGCCAACGAAAACAAAACTGCATTATTCCGTCAGATTTCTAAGTCGTTTGTGATCCGAGAGCGGGATCTTTGAAGAAAGGCGTCGGAGATGCTGCCCGGCC